ACGGTATTTCATCAGTTTGAGTCTCAGCATCACTGCTCTATATTAAACTGTGCTGTCATTACCTCTCAGCCTCTTCACTGCAACCCCCTCTGCTGTATGTGCGCTCTGCTGTTACTACAACCACCTCTGTGCTGCCACCAGGTGGAGAAGAGCAACTGTTACAGCAGGTGGAGCTCTGATGAAAGCTGCACATCACTTCACTGAACAACATTAACATACACCTGGGCAGGTGTGCCCCTACTGGTAAATCATCTCTGAGACCAAACTAGGAGAACTCATAATAAAAGAGGTGAACAGACGCCGGCAAGGACAGTCTGACCCTGACAAACACAAAAAGGTTCAGTCTTTCACCTGAAGCATCACCATGCAATAAACTCCAGCAATTAGACTGATCCCAATACACATCACACACCAGTGCTGCTTGTCAGTAAACTTCAATCTGGAACATCATCAACCCAAGAATGACAGTCCCGGGGAACTCTCTGGCTTAACATGATTGCAAATAAACAAAACAGAAATGTAAACAAATATATTAATAAATCAAACAATGTTCAGGTTGTAGGCTGCTGCTTCGCAATAAAAGCCTCGTCATAGTTTGTCAATAAAAGGCTTTTATTGTGAAGCAACAACAGGAAATGCCAACAGCTGAAGTGTTTATACCTCAATAACCAAAACGGAGATCACAAATTGATCAGCTGATTGACTGACTGACTGATTGATTGAAGTGTCTTCAACAACAGGAAACACTTCAACAGAACCAGGACGTAAAAACACATGAACTATTCCTTTAATACTGCATGTCAGACAACACACTGACTGTCTACTACACACTCACTGTCACATTTTATAAACTGTCAAATATCTCTGTGGGTATCAGTCGGGCTGAGAAACAGTCCTTTAAAGAGATTATTCCCCATGTGGGTTAAGGTTTGTGTTAGCAACCAAGCTCGGAGATGGAGGAAGTGGGGGTTAATCCTGTGAGGCTATGAAGAACATAAAATAAAAGATTTTTTAAAATGCCTTTATAATAAACCATCCGAGATAACTAGGAAAATAGCCACTCTTAGGGTCACCTAGTGTCACCAAAATCCCTTAAGGCACCATTGGTCTACTGTTGGTTATACCACAACACTTAGCTTGGAAAAATGTGTCTAAGGGCAAAGCTGTTGAATATTTTGTAGAGCCTCTTTTCAGTGTTGCAGTTTGTAGAAGTTCCCCGTTCCCAGTGCAACCATCTCACAGCCACTGCACCTATGCTATTTCATCAGAACAACTCGTTTTGATGAAACTTAGCTTGCAGCTCATGGTCTGTCTACCTTATTACAGTAAAGAGGTGTCGTTTGTGTTTCACTTATGATTTATTGATCTGTGACTATTTCGTCCTAGGATTGGTCTCATTAGGTTTTAATATTTTTTCAGGTAAGAAAGTCACCATTTAGATTTAGAATATCTGGTCTTTCTATCCCAGCAATGCAAAGGCTTATTTGGAGAGCTGGTCTAAAGTTTTCAGTTATGTGAGTACTAGGGATGGGCATTTCAAACTAAAATACTTTTATATTTGCACTACTCTAGAATTATTTGAAGATCACCCCCCCCACACACCCCACCCCCACACACACACACAGTTTCCTGTTCCTGCGGCCATCGTAGTCACTTCCTGCTTCCTGTTACCAAATTTACAATTACCAAATTTAACTTGCTACTTTGGATTGGCTAGCTCAGAAGCTAGCTAAGCTAGCAGCTTAACTGAGAGCAATGGCTTCCCCCTCTTCCTCTCCTTCCTCTTGCTCGGAGTTATTCCTCTGTCTCTTTTAGCAATAATAGTATTTATATAATATCACATGCTGCTAGATTAGACTTAAGACTTTCCTTTTGGATAAAGCTTATAGTTAGGGCTGGATCAGGAGACCCTTAGCCGACTTTCCTTTTGGATAAAGCTTATAGTTAGGGCTGGATCAGGTGACCCTGAGCCTTCCCTTAGTGATGCTGCTATAGGTATAGACTACTGGGGGGGCATGATGGTCTGAGCTCCTCACCTCCCCTCTCCTCTCTCTCCATCCATATACCACCACTACCCGTGTGCCCCCTCTCTCTCTCTCTCCCTCCCTCCCTCCCATAGTGTCTCCTCTCTCACTCCTCTCTCTCTCCCTGTACCTTTCTACACGTTGCCCTGGCTCTGAAGCTCTATGTTTCTGATGCACAGCCA